TTTTTTTTTTTTTTTTTTTTTTTTTTTTTTTTTTTTTTTTGTTAAAGTTGATCGTCTATCAGCGGAACAATATTCAAATTGATGTTCTTCTATGGTATATATCGTAATAGTTTGAGTTCCATTGTTGATTTTAACTTTGAAATTGATTTAACTTTTAATATTTTTCATCCTATATAAAATATGTGTTTTAGGTTTATAAAAAATAAGTATACAGACTCTAACAATTTAGAACACGAATAATCTAAATGAATTAAATTGACATGTACTTTCTATTATAAATCACCGGCCTCAACAATAATATGATATTTATCAACTTTGAGTCTAAACTTTCGTGATTTTGCTTTTAATTTTTCAAAATGTTTGTACTAATTAAGATAATATTTCTTATTCATAAACACACATCTTTCCTTAATCAGCTGAGATTACTCTTCTCAATGATTTATCTTTTAATGGGCTATGAATCATTCTAATTCTCTTAAATTAGCTTCATATGCCTCAATCATTTTATCTTAAAAACTTAGTAAACAAGACTTTTTAACATTAATCACGACTCATTACCTGAACAACATAGCAAAGCAAGACACATCCACCGATGTCACTATATTTAATTATTATAAATTATTGTTATTATTTTATCAAAAAAAAAAAAAAAACATCATGTATCCAACAACCAAAAAGTTTTTTTCTTTTTTGAAAAATTAGGATACTAGGTTAATATTCAACGTTATTTCCTTACATGAAATCAAATAAAAAGTCAATCGATTTCCTTATCATACCTAATAATAATAAAAAATAATATATATATATATATATATATATATATATATATATATATATATATATATATATATTTTAGGTTGGAATTTGATTGTTAAATTATAATTAATTTTATTAGAAAATATATATTTAAATAAACGAGGTTAACAATAAAAATAAAAATAGTTAATGAACAATTTAAAAAGTTTAGTAAATAGAAACTGATTTAAAATTGGAAACCACTAAATTAAAATTAAAATAAAACTCAACCCTAAATTATAAGAAAATCACAATTTAATTTTTTTCCTTTATTCGAAAAATATATATATTAATTTTGTCCATGAAGTAACTAATGAACATTTATTATAATATGTATTCTATTATTTAAATAAATAAAAAAAAACGGAAGTGGAGTTTGTGGCCGGAATTTTAAACAAGGGTACAACTGTCAAAAGAAATAAAATCCGTTAAGGAATGCCAGCTATTGACGGACGGCTGCACGTTTTGTCTTCCCCGTTAATTTCCCGTCCCTTAACTTTCTTTTTCCGTTATGATTATTATTATTATTATTATTTTCGGAATTTCCATTATTTTATTTTTAAATTACAGTATTGGATTTACTTCTCCAAATGCGCTGGCCAAATACTGTCCCTAATCCATCCAACAAAATTTCACAACAAAAAGAAAACATATATTGACGTAATTTTTGGGTATAATGGTAATTGCACACCCCATTTTTCTATTTTCGTTGGGAAAAAAAAGCGTCCGACGTGGCAGTTCCATTTTCTTCTTCTTCATCTTCTTACACAGCTGGGTTTTCCGGTATCTTTTTGGCGGGTTTTCGATTCTTCTTCTTCTTCTTCTTCTTCTTTCTCCTCCATTATATCTCTCTCGCTTTCGTTCTTCTTTTTTAATAAACCCTTTTTTTTTGGAGTTCATTTTTGTCGGTGAGCTTCTCTGTTTCTCTTGCACTGTCGTGTCTGTGTTGTATGCTTCATGTTCATCTTCCATTTGGCTCATTATTACTCGTTCCTCCTTTTGATGTTTCGTAAACATTCTTCAATGGCGGATGTGGGATTATTCCATTTTCTTCATCCCTTCTTTTAATTGTTTTTGGAATCTTGGTTGTGGGTTTCTTGGGTTTTTCATTCTCCATTGCCTGATTCTTCGGTGTTCTTCCTCGTTTCAGCCCTCTAAATTTCTGTTTTCTTTCGGATTTCTTCGGTTTCAAAATGTTCGACATGTTCTTGAAGCCGAAGTACTACACGAAATGGTATTGATTCTGATTCTGATTCTGATTCTGATTCTGATTCCGATTCCGATTCCGATTCCGATTCCGATTTTTATGGGTTTCTTTTGATTGATTCTTTCTTTTATTGTGATGTAGCAAATCTTGCTTAAAGCTGTTGAAGTCGCGGCTGGATGCAATTAGGAAGAAGAAGAATACGGTTCTTAAGTATTTGAAGAGCGACATTGTTGAACTTCTCAAGAGTCGTCTCGATTACAATGCTTACAACAGGGTTAGTTCTTCTTCGTGTCTTGGATTAGATTCTTAATCTCTCCGAAACCCATAATTTTAATATCTGTCTTCTGTTGTGATTGTTCTTAAATTCTTTGTGTTTGGATTGACTGTAAGAGAATTTCTGGTTCATCTTCCCTGATTTTGGTCGTGCTTGTTGTGCTAATGGTGAAATAGGCTGAAGGGTTTCTTGTTGAGCGAAATGTGTTGAGATGTTATGAGCTAATTGATGAGTTTTGTGGGACTATCTCCAATCAACTCTCTGTCTTGATCAAACAGAGGTAGTAGATATCATGATTTTTGGAACATGTCTGTGTTCTTAGGCTTCAATTTGTTCAAATCAGTTTAAATGTGGTTTCCATGTTTTTGTTTCTCTTCTAGCGAATGCCCTGATGAATGCAACGAAGCAGTCG